CTCTGAAACTCAAATTCATAGTTTAGAATTCGACAAAATGGTATGAAATAGTAATACTTTATCAAAGGAACCCTTTCATGTGTCTCTTATGAACCTTGTTATACATTTTTAATGCATTTTTGTGCAAATGCTACGTAATCTTTGGTAATATTACGACAAATTTAATATTCAGAAATGAGTTACGCATTTTTTCATTGAACATTTATGAGCCACAAGTTGCCGTACACACAGATATTTATGTTATGGATAGCAATATTTCATTCTAAACTACAATTTTTTCATTAACTCTATCGAAGATGAGATAATCTCAGTTACAAAAATTGTAATATGTATCAAAAAAAATGCGCAACAACCAAAGGGGGTTTTCCACGAGTCAAAAAAAAAACCAAAGGGTTTTCGCTAAATATGGAAGTAATTGCATAAATCACTTACCTGGTGGCAAGTACCCAACAGAACCAGCCACAACTGACGATTTGTATTAGTCTCTCCATGCTTGATTACCATCTTGGCTAGACCAAAATCTGCAGGACCTTTGCATTGAAGCTAGAATCCAACAAGATTGCTTGATTTCACGTCTCGGTGGATTATCTGCAGAGTGAGCATTCATGGTGCATGTAGCACAGTCCCCGGCAGTTCCACTGCAATTTGAAAGCCGCTTAGGCCAGTCCAAGGACAGCCATGATGGGCTGACCTGAGACAACGAACTGCCGTGTCTTCCCCAGTGGAAGCCACCCGGTCCAGGCTGCTATTTTCCATATCTCATAGACGAGGAGTTTTGTAGGTCTCACTTAAATGCAGCACAAACAATTTCACTAATGTTGCAATGGCGGAATCGTGCCCAGAATTATAACATCGTGTCTAGGAATTCCTTCTCGACCTTCTGTTTTTTGATAGCGGACAATCTGCCCACGGTTCAAAACACACGGTACCACTTTCCCTGACCACCAGATCCGAATCATGTTGCTTTCAAGTCAACTCGATTAGAATGTCTGACTCTGAGAAATTCAATGATTGAAAATTGAGTGAACTCCCACTTTGGGAATCCAATCCACGCTTCTCTTTTCCAATAAGTTTTGACCACGCCGAACATGAAACCACTACAAACAAAAAAGGTCTATCGGTGACAAAAACGCTGTGACGAAAAACATAGTTCGTCTCCAAATATACATGTTTAGTGATGAAAATAAGATTTCGCCTCAATCTGTACTATTTTTAGAGACGAAAACCAAATTTCGGTCACCAAATGCTTAAAATCAAATTAAAACAATAGTGACGAAAATAATTTATTCGTCTCTAAATTTTATTTTTCGTCACAAAACAATTTCCGCGCCCTGGAAAATTTGGTGGAAGACTTTTGGCGCATTTTGTGAGATGAAATTTGTCGTCACCATTGTAAAAAAATTTAGAGAGGAATAATTTCGTCTTCAAATGTTATTATTTTTAGAGAGGAAAACCAAATTTCTCACAATGCTTAAAATCAATAAAAAAATACAAGAAATCTAAACTATGACAAATTTGGTGGACAAATTTTTTTATGTCTTAAAATTTAAAGCCAAAGATACGAAATATTAATTTTGTCGTTTGTTTAATTTTTCTTCAAAAACAGTATAGGTGACGAAACTAAATTTTTGTGCAAAAATGAGGCCGCCAATTTCATTTGCATTGAGCGCGAATTATTTTAGCTCATGTGGAGACGAACATTTTTTGTCCACAAAATAAATTTTTTTGTGACAAACGTAATTCGTCGCCAATAAATTCATACCTATTAAACGATATCGTTGGCATATTTCCATTATTAGGCGCAAATATATTTTTGTCTGGGAAGGATAAGTTATGGGATGACGAAAATATTTCGTCATCAAATAAACACTCCATCATGCAGACAATGTCATTCATCTTTCTATTAAATAAGCGACAAATTATTTTTGTTTCAGAAGAATAAGTTTGTGGGAGACGAAAATATTTAGCACTAATAAATTCTAATTGATTGGTGACGAATACCATTTTCATTCATAAAGTTAGTTGTGGAAGACCAAAAATATTTCATCACCATAATAAAATTCTTTGTTCTGGTAATTGAAGGATACAAAAATATGTTTATCACTAATCATTTCTCTTTATTAACAATGCCATGGTTTTGTGTTCGAAGCATTGAAACTGTGACCCCAAGAGATACACTCTAACGCTTATCACTCATTTTTCATGTACACGGACCTTGAAGTCGTGCCCAAGAAGACCTTTCTACACCTACAACAAATTTGGGATTTAAAGATGAAACTAAATTTGTCCCCAAAATGTATATATTTCGTCTCCAAAGTAATTATCGACGAACATTTTTCGTCACCCGTTTGTCGCCAAAGGGTTGTCGCTAAAGGGTCTTAGAGACGAAAAAAAAAATTCGCATTGAAAAATGATAAATTTATGCACGATTTTTTTGTCTCCAATACACTTTGTTGGGACATAAATTGTAAGTAATTAGCACAAAATATTGTTTGTCATTAAGGAAAATTAGAGACAAAGATATTTCGTCATAAATATAAGAAATTGAGAGAACGAAATATTTTTGTCACGTTTAATATAAAATGACAGACGAAAATTTTTGTCTCAAAGAAGCTACCAATAGAGACAAAAACAAATTCATCATTAAAAATGGAAAATTTTGTGACGAATTTTTTTGTCTCCAATACACTCTGTTGGGAACATACTTGTAAAGTAATTAGCGACAAAATATTTGATCATTAAAGAATAAATTAGAGACAAAGCTTATTTTGTCATAAATATAAGAATAAGAGAGAAATTAGATTTTGTCACGTTTATATATAAACGGAAGACAAAAAAAAATTTGGTCAACATAGAGACAAAA